TGGCGTGGCCATGCCTCCTGGGGAGGTGATTTCTCACTTTCTAGCTCTCTGTCTCTCTGGTGAGCGCATATATCCTATAACAAAAGAAAAAAAAAGAGGAAAAATTGTTTTATTATAACTATATTTTTGAAGAGCATTCAGAGATTCAGTAAGTACATCACATTTAGACAATACTAAGTAAAATTGCATGGTTTACTGAACACATGATAGCAAGAAATCTATGGTGGACCAATTATAGCCTCAACAGGTACAGCATGAAGAGGTGCATACCTGTGCTCCTTCTGTGTTCTGGCTATAAAAATCAATTCTGAATCAAATCCAAGATACTAAGCTTTAACCTCAGCACTAAAACTTAAGAATCCACTGAATAAGAAAAGTTGCTTCTTCCCCAAGTTAAACTCAAAAATGCTCAGGTGAGTGTTTCTAATTAAGGATCCTTTTATCAGCAATAGCTTAGGGCATACTTATCAATGAAATTTTAATGGATTACCATTAAGTGTTAGTCACCATAAAACAGATAAAATTATGTGAAAAAAATCTCATTTCTACAAAGAGGCTTATATTTTATTTTTAACATACTGTCATGGGGAATATTAATTATCACTACAAAAAGCTTTGTTAATAATCCTCATAGTAAACTTTGTTTTCAGTTAATTTCCGATCCTATTTATAAAGTACTTTACAAATTTCATTCATCTTTTTCTCACTGTTGTTTTAACTAATCTGATCACCTTTATTTGAAACAAAATTAAGTTCCTACTGTTATTTTTTACTTCTAAAATTCTATAAAATTAGCCAGTCTTCATAATAGTAAGTAATACTATTATGAAGAAGTTCAGAAAATGCCACTCTAAAATCTGCTTTGGAATGCTGATTAATACACTACTTGCATTATGTCACAAAGGACAGAATAAGAAAGAACAAATATACAATATTTACAAAATCTTTTCCAAGTGTGTGGTAGATACCAATAATAACACAGCTTCGAAACTATTTTGTAGAAAGAAATGCTTTTGTCACTTTCCCAGATCACTCACATTCAAAAGACCTGATTTAGGGAAATAAGTTTCTCTTTTTATTTCTAATAGTAAGAAAATCTGGATATAATTATCCTGTAAGACCTTCAATTAATAGCTACTCCCCCAAATCACTTCATATTCTATTATGTGGATTAATAAACCTTTAGCTAGGGCAAGTACAGTGAAGGAAAAATGTATTAGGGAGTTTCTGAGAATTATATTCAAATTTATATTCAATTTTGGTTTCCATCTATTACTTTCATCGGTGTTTTATTATCTGGTAGACATTTAACGGCACTGTTTTGATGCTGATCATTCAAACTAGTTATTAGAAGACATGAGGATGGATGGTTAGTACTAGACACATTAAGATAAGCAATTAGGACCAAAGTCAAGATAAAAATAAAACCTATGTATATTCCCTCACCCAACATGTATTTAGGAAATTCAGCTCTATGGAAGCTCCCAGTCAGGTGTGGAGGGGGTTAGTAATTGAGTGCACGAAATAAACTGACAGGAGGCAGTTAAACAGGAGAAAAGGCTCACAGATTTAGTCCATGTGTGGGCATCACATGGAAGAAAAGTGAATAGCCCCAAACCCAGTGAGATCTAGAAGCTTACATACCCTCTTCTTAGGGAAGACAGGAGGGGCTATGAGGGCAATTTAGAGGAGAGAAAATGACTTTTGGGAAAGATGAAGGAGCCTGTGACAAAGTCCTTCTGGGCCTCAAGTCATCTCTGGGGATGGATGAGAACTGAGTTCTTTCTGAAGGATCTGTTTTTAGACAGATAGGGGGAGTTCAAAGAAAGCCCCTTGCTGCATTTGCTGTCCTCCAGGGTCCTCAGTTTGAAGTAATCAGCATTCCAAAGCAGATTTTAGAGTGGCATTTTCTGAACTTCTTCAAGTGTAACAGGTAATAATAAGAGATATTATTTAGTTTTTGTCCTCAAAAAGCTTACAAGAAATTCTCAGAATGAATCAGCTAAAAATACTGACTGATTAGTATGAAGACTTTTTCAAAGACAAACCTGGTGTCATACATAGTCATACCTGAATACGGACTGTAGAAAGAGTACATGGTAGCCTCGGAAGGGTGAGATTACAGTGGCCTTTTGGGTTTTTTACACCTTTTTCATGATTTGGATTTTTTTTACAAGTATGTATTATTTTTTGTAGTCAGAAAAAAAAATCAAAATATATGTCATGAATAAATACTGCCAGAGGACAAGTGGATATAAAATATTTGTTGATTTAGGGTACGGTGCTAGTGGCTTATGAGTGGATTTCTGTCTATTTTAAAGTTATTGTGTTGTTATAATAGAATTGTGATGACAGACTTAATTCAACAATAAAACAAGTATGTGGAAATTTTAAGTCCTTTGATTTGATTTTGCTTTATTATATATTAGGAGTAAAGACCTCATTGCCATTATTTTTAAAGATTATTTAGTTATTTCTTCCATACACAAGAGAGAAAGACAGAGAGACAGCATCCCCAACAGGGTCTTGATGCCACCCCCAGCTTCAGTCAGCCCTGGATCATGAACACAGAAGTGTCCAGAGTACCCTGGGAGGTTTCTGGATTTGAATCCAGAACTTAACTTTTCCTTAAAAAAAAAAAAAAAAAAAATTGCCAGAGGCCACATGTGTTCATCAGGGAGAGACAGAGAGACAGAGAGGGCAAAAGCACAACTCCCCCGCCCCATGGGGTATGGTCATGCCATAATCCCTTCTTCATTTTCTCATCCCATCAGGATTTGGGGCATGCATGCACATGCATCCAGTGTGTTTTTCAAGCTTCCAGGGCTGGGATTGAAACCATGCAGTCAGTCATATGGAACCCGGCTCCATTTGCCACGAGGCCATAGGTTCTGCCAGAACCCAGAACCTTTCATATGGGTCAGCCTCACAGTGCATTGTGTTTTACCACGGTACCAGCCACTGCCCACCACTCACTGCCATTTTTATTTCTATCTAAAGAGTAGGGCTGTAGAGGAAATTAAGGTACACCCTCTATTTTTGTTTGTAACACACTTTTTCAAACTCTCGTATGTGGTTACAGTCTACCTGTAATAATTTATTTCATTACCATCTACTATTAGGGTAATACTTCTACCATCTATTATTAGGGTAATTCCATTAAATTAGAATATGGTCATTTATGGTTTCCTAAATTTCCAAATGCTTTCATGTTAATATGCTGTCTTAAAAAAAAAAAAAAAAAAAAAAGAAGAAGAAGGAAGAAAGAAAGAGAAAGAAAGAAAGAAAATTAAAAGAATTCCTGGCTGTATTTCAGAAAAGCTCAGTAGCCTTGACCTTTGTGTTTTAAGAAGGCCTTTAGCCAGATTAAATAGAAACAAGACTCTTCTTCATTTCGGCAAGTCCCAGTTACATCATTGACCATTTTTTAAATCCTGTAATCTTATTTTTAGTGTCACTTTAGGCTGAATCATTCTTTTCAAAAATGGCATAGATTGTGATATCTGTGTAGCTTTTCTTATTTAATACAACTCCACTGTCATTTTAAGTGAAAAAATTATGATGGAGTATGAGAAACTTTCTGTTAATGGAAGCTTACGTCCTTCTGGTCAAGGACGAAGGGTATCAGGTACTTGCTAACTCCATTTAAAAATTCTACTTAAAAAAACACATTGGGGGCCAGCAGGTGGCATGGTGGTTGGGGGTGCTGGACTCTCAGATGGCTGACCACAGTTTGAGTCCTGGACCTGGTGGTTTGCTTTCTTACTTTCTCTCTCTCTCTCTCTGTCCTCCCCTGGTCAAAGTATAAACTAACTAACTAAATAAAGCTAAATAAAATGATTCCTTAAAAAAAATGTAAAGTGCATATGCTCACTAGAGAGAGATGTGAGACAGAGGGACAATGAGAAAGCATCCCTCAGGGAGGATGGTATACCACAATCCCTTCTCCTCCATTATTCTCTTGGGATTTGGGGCCCACACACACCCAGCATGTTTTTCAGGGCACTAGGTCAGGGACTCAAACTGTGCAGCTGGTCATGTGGGATCCAGTCACCTTAACCACCACCCCACCTGCTGGCCCAAAATTGTATTATTTTATAAAGTTAATTGTGGATTTCTAGAGACCTTTCAGGGGCTAATCGATTCATGCACTCACTTTGCAGGATAACTGGGCACTGGAGGGAGCAGGGAGACTCTCTGGGTTAGTCCTACTATACAAGCCAAACAATGCAGAACTGAGCCAGTAGAGAATGTCCTTGTCATTTATTCTAGTTTTAATTAAGGCCTGAGTCAAAGTTAAGAACTACAATAGCTCTAGATGTGAAACTGGATATAAATTAAGATACACTCACAAGCGGACCTCCAGGTTATTGTGATACAGTGGAAAACAGACATGTCTTAAGGAGTGGAGGGAGAGAGCCCCACAGCGGTGTCTCCGTGTAGCTGGCCTGACTTCGTGTCACAAAACAGGAAGGAGCGAAGTAGGCTGCGAATTGGGGGGGAGGGTATGCACAGAGTTTGGCTTCATAGTGGGTTCATTTAAATGTAAAATGTTCTTAGAAACAATGACCTGGAAAAGTTACTTTTGAACTTTGGAGAGAACTGATTTACTTAATTAGAAAATAAAAAGTATTACAGTTTTATTCTTATTTACAACTACAATTTAAGTGAAATCTTATGCTGATGAAGTTCTTAGTTAGAAATTACTGAAAAGAAAAATACTTTCATTTTAGAAGACAAATAGGAAAAACCTTTTTTGGTTCTGCAACAGATCAAACTGGCTTTTATTTTACCAATTACCATCACCTTGAATTACCAAATTCTAGTGGTATTTGGGGTGGTGAGTGACAGAGGTCATACCCAAAAGCCATGACAATGGGTAAATCACCAATGGCAAATAAAATAAGCCTCTAGTTAGTTTACACAATTTCAGCTGCACCTTTATGGAATGAAGGCAAAGCTCAACAAAGAACCCATAAAATGAAATGATGCAGACCAACCTTTTATTGCACCCACAATATTTTGGTCTAGTCCTTTCCGGTTGTCATTGAGTCCTCTTTTCCTCTTCCCATTGGGTAAGGAGTTAGCCAAAGTCTTGTCATCAAAAAATGCACACACCAGTTTTCTAAACAGAAGACTTCCTGAGCGAGTGTAGTTTGACAATATAGAGTCCAGCTGAGATTTAGGCATAAACACATCAAAGCCTTCAGCAAGTTGCACTTCTGGCTACCAAAAGAACATAAATATTTTATTAAAAGCAAGATTTGAAGCATTTGACTTTGGGCATATGTGCAACAAGAAAACATCACCAGCTATTTAAATGTCCACATGCCACAAATGATACAGTCTCAGCTCTGTATGGCAGTATTTGTAATTTACAAAACCAATGACTATTTATCATTCATACAACAGATGCTCTAATTCCAGTATTTAATCTTGTCAAAAGCAATGGAATGGAGTATACAGAAAAAGCATTCCTGTTCTTAGAAACAGTCCAGAGGAGGCTGGATAATCACAAAATCGTATCATTCTGGAGCTAAAGGGACTTGAGGCTTCTACCTGGAGCATCCTCATTTTGTTAGGCAAATGATAACCACTACACTACTGAAACTGGGCACTCTCACTTTGTAAATGAGGGAACTAGGCCCAAAGAGATTGTAACAATAAACAAAAATAATTAAAATGTGCTTAGTTCACTACAATTTACAGATCACTTTCTCATACATTTAATAGTTTAATTTCTTCCAACTAAGGACATAAACACGTGGCTACTGCTGCACTTTCTAGTATGCCAGTGGTATTAGTTGGGCACTGTTTTCCCCACCAATGAAAACTTACATAATCCAATACATACAAATGATGAGGTGGTTCCTCAGGCAGTTTCAATCCACTCCTCATCACTGAGAGGAAAGGCTAAAACAGGGGATGCACGGCCATGCAGGAGTGGGTGGGTGAGTGACAGGAAGGCAAGGGAGGATCTGTCTGTTTATAGCCACCCCCCTACCACCTGCATTGTCGCCTGGGCTCCGCCCCCTGTTGAATCAGCAGCAGTACTGGATTCTCATGGGAACACACGCTCAATTGCTGTGTGATTGTTTCACTGTATATTGCAACATGGTAGTGGTGGAAATGGGGTGCATGGTGGCTGTGGTGCACCTGGGTTATCCCAGGACCAATCCTACCCACCACCCAGTCCGTGGACGGATTGTCTTCCAGGAGGCTGGTCTCTGGTGCTGGAAAGACTGAAGAGTGCTGGTCTACAGCTATGTCCCAATGCACATTTGAAAAGTCAATGCACTAGTCACACTGCTTCCCTGTCAGGGATTTCATGATTTGGGCACAGGATCAGAAGACCTATAAAGTGCCTTCATCTTGGGCTCAAGCATAAGATGATACAAGCTCAGATACTAGTAATGTATTCTCCATCACCATGCCAAGGCTGTTTACAATTTGCTTTTTCACCTTTCAACCCAGCTCACATCATTTCAGTTCCAAACCTTTCCTAACTTCTTCCTACCCAAGGAGGCAGCTGCATACTCTGCTACTATTGCTTATCTGACATATGTATATCCTGTATTTAGTGCACTGTATGAGAGCTATTTATCAGATAGCAGCCTTTCCTGATGCCTGAAACTCAGACTTTATATCTCCTGGCACATAGTAGGCACTCAATAAATTCTTAGTGAATAGTAAAAGTTCATTAGTCAAAAATCTAAACTATTAAGTCATTTACTGTTGGTTATAACATGGTAGTCTTAAGTAACTTTCATATGAAGAAATGCAACTAGGAAACTTTTATTAGGAAAAAAAGTCAGAAGAAAACCTCACTTAAGTAAAATGTAGTATCAAAGATTATTCTTAGGTCTCATAGTTATCACTTTGCAAGGCTGGCCCTGCTTAAAGGCTTTCTAAATCACATCAGAAATGTGAAGATTTGGGATTAGTTTCTCCTCTGGAGAATAGGAATTATTATTTTTACCTGTCCTTTAATTGGTCAAAATGCCCAGCACAGTACAGTCAAAGTAAAGAGTGCTAGGAGCATGGCTTAGATGATCTGGATAATAAAGGAGGGCCCTTTATTTGGGCCCTGCCTCTCTAAAACAAAAATTTTTGACAGATTGTTCAGAGAGTCACCTCATTTCTCTGTGCTACCTTATCTTTAAAATTTTGGCTTCTGAATTTTTGGTAAATACCACTACAGAAACAGTGCTGTCAGATTTTCCCCTTCTGCATCTTGCAGCTTGCTGGATGAGGCCTGTAGAAGACACTGATGGGAGCTGAAGGCAATACATCTCATTCCCAGAACAGACGGTGACACGCACCAGGCACTTGATAAACATTAGCTGAATGATTCATTGTGGAAATACTGGGATTGAGAGAGTTTTACCATTATAATCTGAGATGGAGCTTTATTTATAGCTAAAATTTTATTTGCACATACTATGGCTGTATGTAGAACTTTAATCCTAAATGAATAGGTTTCAGATTTTTCCTGCGTGCTCCTATATCATTTGAAAGCCTCTTTTAAAAAAAATCAAGTTGATCTCATATTGGGTCATTGGAAAAGTCATGACATATTTTTCTATATTTTTCTATGCAAAAATGCATTGTGACTTTTCTGATGATCCAATAGAAGCAGCTACTCATAGCTATTTGAGGATCAGGTGGTCCAGAAGCTCTTAAATTACACAAGTGGAAAGGGAAGGATACTAGCTTACCTCAGTCATGTAACTTGGCTTGATTCTGATATCACTAAACAGGTGCTTAAAATACTCAGCCTCCTGATCTCTTTCAGGAAGGGGAAAAGGCTTTCCCCTTTCAATTCATCCTTAGGACTCGAGCCCTCCTCTGAGAAAAACTGACCTGAGTGAGCCACCAGGCAGAACTAGTCACTCCCTCTCATGCATTTACGTAGTTTCCATGAACTATGTTTATGGCACTTTTCACACTGCCTTTATTTAGAGGAGGACCTTGTGTTTCTAATCAGGATGGGCACTCTTTCGTACCTTGAGTGCCAAGCACCCATTTAATGTCCAATGGATAACTGTCAGGATAAATAAAACATTAAGAACTCACTCAAGATGACTAGAGTTGATGCAGAGGTCTTGCATCCCTATATAAAGGAAGTGGGTTAGAAAGCCTGTCATGCATGGCTCCAGCGTCCTCTTCTTACAGTTCAGATGCAACTCCAGGGGCAGACTACTTGGAGAGCACTGCCCCAAATGACTTGACACCTATTGGTGGAGCACTGCCCCAATTGATTTGACACCTATTGGTTGTAGGAACTTAAAGGCTGGCTCTGGAGATGAGACATATACATGGGTACCTAACACACAAGGTAGAAAGTGACAACCACCACAAGGCAGGGAAGAACGCAGGTTGTCCACATCAGGTAGGATTCAGCTGCTGGAGGATAAAAGGGGGTGGGGGCTCACAGGGCTCAGGGAGGGATAGGACAGCACTCCATTGCTCCTTGTAGGTAGGATGTAGGAGACAGAGGTATAGGTATGGTTTTTTGCATCTGCTATGACCCTTAAAACAAAATATCTGGAGGTTTCTGTGGAGCTGAGAGACTTCCTGTGGCATCATAGTACTTTGGTTTCCATGACACCATCCAATGCAGAAGTCACTGCTTTCTATTCTTCTTTCTACTGCCAGATAAGTGCCGTTATCTCAACTGTTCTTTCCAGATCAAGGACCATGACCTGACCCACTTGTAAGCACTTCACCCAGAATTAGAGAGTTTGATTAGTGAGATGGCAGCAGCAAGGGCAAAGGGGCCTCAGCTCTGTCCTCTCCTGGCCTCCCTACCTCTTTCCCATTCAGTTCTTAGCTAGTCGTGAATACATGCTAAAGCTTGGTCTACCAGGTGCCACAAAGCAACAATCCTCTAAAAGAATAAAAGGGTAGCTTTATCTTCTGAAACCGAAGAAAGACAAGTTAATCTCAGCTTTTCACTATGAAACTTTTTTATTTCCTCCATTTTATAAACATAGTGGATTACCAACATATAATGATTTACCACTTTGAACATATGAATAAAAACAGGTTAAAAACTATGTATTTGTATCACTGAATTTCTTCTTTTTGTTTACTGGCTCTAGTTTAAATGAGATCTCTTTGCTTACTAATGATACCTATCATAGAAACCAACACTATTCTGAATGAATGCCATTTAATTAATTAACTTATTTATTTAAAGGTTTTGGCCACAGGGCATGTGTACTTCCTGGAGAGAGACAGAAACAGTGAGAAAGTGAGAAATCACCACCCAGATGGGGTGGCCACACCACAATCCCTTCTCCTCCTGGGATTTTGGGCATGCATGCACATGTGCCTACAGTGATTTTTAAGCCTCCAGGTCCAGACTGGAAATGTTGTTGGCCATGTGGGAGTTCAGCATCTTAACCTCTATGCCATATACTGGCCCCATGAATGCTAGTTTAAAAACTAGACATCCCTTGACAGTTTCAGTCTTTGACACACAGGTCAAGACAGATGGCTAATACACTAATTTATAGAGTCTATTTATTACTAAACTAATATACTCTGGGAACCAGCAGTTAGTGTAATGGTTATGTTGCTTAACTCCCATGTAGTCGACCATGGTTCAAGTCCAGGACCCAGTGGCTTAGACTAACACTGGGCGTGTGTGCTTGCATGCCCAGGATCCCGAGAGGAGAACGGAGGAGAAGAGATTGTGGTGTGGCCATCCCTTTCTCGCTTTCTGTCTCTCTGGAGAGTGCACGTGCTCTATAGTAAAAACCTTTCCAAAAACAAAACAAACAAACAAACAAACAAAACAAAACTAATATACTCTGTAGATGATGACATTCACAGTAGGGGGCAGAATATATAATATTTATAGTCTTCATTTTAAGATGAGTCTATGAGGCCAACAGGTGGCATAATGGTTAAGGTGCTGGACTGCTACATGGTTGACCATGGTTTGAGTCCCAGACCCAATGGCTTGAAACTCATGATGGGCGTATGCACGCCTAAAATCCCAAGAGGAGAACAGGGAAGGGATTGTAGTGTGACCATTCCCCCTAGGGGTGCTTTCTTGTTTTCTGTCTCTCTGGTGAGCACACATGCCCTATAGCAAAAATCTCTAAAAAAAAAAAAAAAAAAAGTGAATTCCCACTCTAAATTTGGATTTTTATATATGTCTTGGCTATCTTATATACCTTAGTCACTTAGAACAACAATGTACCAAATGTTTAATT